GTGGCTAATCTCATTCGCTAAATATATCCTTTTGCGCTAAACCTGCGGGTACAGATACTGACCCGGTTGTTGAACCGAGTAGCGCAGCCCCGTTTGTCCGTTGCTCAAATTCAGATTCACATTTGTATTTCTCTCTTTTTTCACCGCCGGTTGCTCCCCCTTGGGAATCATCTCTCTCAGATTTACATCGAACTCGTTGGCCAGCTTCGATTTCTCTAATGTGTCCAATCTTGGTTAGTTTGACTTATGGTAGTGTAGTGGTAGGTGATTGGTAAGTTGGAGTTATAGGGAGGTGGCTTTCGGCTTATTAAAGTGTGTTTTTTAATCAACTGCTTATCAGCCACGCTTATCTGGTTCAAGTTATCAAAACAAGTGCTTAAATCTTATATTCGCACCAAAAATTACGAGTGCTGATTCATTATTCACGAAAAAGAAAATTCAATGTCCGATGGTGATGACCAGTAGCCCAACCGTGATGTGAGCAAGCACGTTAAACAAAGTTGAAATTATGGACACTAACACCGTGAATCTTGCAAGCTTTCATGTGAGCAAGCATGTCAACCCTGAACCCTTGGACACGAAGATTTTTTCAGTATGTCGTAAACATGACTTAGTACATAAATATAATAATATAATTAGTTGATAACTTAATTTTTTTTTACCAATTATACTATTACGTTTAGTAGTATTTATCACACTCTGAAAAATTCTCCTTTTGACACACCCAACAATGCATGATGCAACTACTTAATTTGTTTTGGGGGATGCCGTCTTATTCATTGGTCTTTGTGATTAAAGAACAAGAAATGCTAAAGTCATGCCATCGTTTTGTCAATTAAGCAGATTCCATAGGATTTTCAAGATGCCACCGTCAATAAACCATATATTTTAACGCATTATTTAGCCTCGAAGTCGGTCTACCACACACATAAGTGTACAATAATGTGTAATAAATTATCCTTTTTTTTCATGTATATATTATTTCTAACATTTCAACTGTTTAAGTCTCTGTATTCCTGATTTTTAACGAAAGATTTTTCTATTACCATATTATATTGGGCATCAGCTTCTTTGACTTGGTAAGGTAAGGGATAGGTTGCATCGTTTTTAGAGTGTCACAAACTCGCAGATCACAGACAACTTGTCAACATCCCTATGTGCATAATGCATGCATGTTTAAAGGATAATGTTAGAGAGATTAAATTTTTTAAATTAAATTTGCAAATTAAATGATATAATTATTGATAATTGGATTATTACGTAAGCGTTGATTAACGTGCTTATTATCTATTGGTGACATTTCATTTTATTTGTAAATTTGATTTAAATTATTGGTCTTCCTAACATTACCCTTGTTTAAATTTTAGTATTCCTAACATTATCTAGTATTCCTTGATCCTACTCAATAAGTTCAATACAAACATATGGTAAGAGAGGCTTATACAGTAGCACATAGGCTTGCTCGATCGTTATGGTTTGGCAATGGAATAAGACTTCCTTCGGATTGACAAACTTCTCGATTTTATTGGTGGTCTTCTTATTGAAGATGGTCTTTTTACGTAATTTTTGGTGCGGGTGCTCTTTTTGATCTCTTAGTTCGGGTTAAAATTCTCCTTTTACCGGTATGCCCAAACAAAGCATGATATCTTCGGGTTTGCAGGTATGCTTCATAATGCTAATGAATATCGTGCCATATTTATAAAAAATGCGAGTGGGTGGAAGAGTGAATTACATACTAATGATCATATTACTCATTAATTTGATTATTACATAATATTGTGTTGTATTATATACTAAGGTTTTCAAAGACGTTAGACGCTAGTCAAGTGGTAGATTGGGGTTTAGCACCTGAGTGACTAGGTGGGGGTCTAGGCAGACGAAGCGGATTTAAGTAAACTTATTATACACCCTATCAATAAGTACTTGTTTATACTTAAAAAATACATAATTGTGTTAGGTTACATAAATTGAAAAATCGAATGACATATAGATTAGAAAGTATTAAAACATAATGAAAACACGAGAACCAAAATATAATGAGTGTTCATCCAAGTATTCAACAAGTCTTTTACAATTTATTAAAATAAAATAAAACACAAAATGAAAGTTACATATTTTTTGTCTAAGTTAGAGTTGTGATTTAAGTGGTGGGTGCCTAGGCGGGTCTAGCCGCCCTTTCTTAATTTTTAAACGCCTAAGGATTAATTGGGCGGTAACCCTAGCACCTGAGCGACGTTAAGCGGGGCCTAGATGGTGCCAGACGAAATTTTTTAGAATGTATTATGCTTTTATCTATCCGTTTTTGGTCATCGCAGATTGAAGGACACATCCAAAACGCATTAATATGGTGATGGCTTGTGGGAGTTTAATGTCATTTTGATTACGTTTCGAATTCGGCATGGGGATTTCCATATGGAATTCTAAGCTTTCCAATAGTCGTAATTGGCATGCTAAAAAGGATACTTGTCGATCGGGAGGAGCATGTATATAGCATATTTTACACGACGATGGTTGGTGGAGCTTCTCTTTAAGGTTGTGAAGGACGTCGTACTAGGGAAAATTAGACTAGTCAAATTATTCTTAGATTGATATGATATATGCTTTCTGAATCCCAACCATTAGATTTCAATACCTGAGATGCACAATTAATTATAAAACATATATACTTGAATAAAACAATGTTATTTAGGAAACATTGACATACTGTGAATTCGGACCATTATTGTTAACAGGTGGGCTATTTGTGATGTTGATTTTGTTTGAGTTACAGATTTACTGTGTGGTAATTTGAGTATGATGATTACTGTCGAATTCTCTTATATGAGTGGATTACTATTTGAAGGTTAATTATTAATTAGTGCTCCTCTAGATGATGATATATTATTTGCTCCAGTACAAATTCCAGGTATTCTCTAGTCAGTTAATTTGAGTGATTAAAATTTGAGTCATACTCTCTCTCTGTTTCCCTACTCCCAATTAGTGTAGATTAGAGAAATCTGATGATCTACTGAGGAGAGATTGTTCAATGTGTCTATATTTCAAACGCATACGTCATATGTCATTATATGAGTAGAAAGACACTTGAAAGAAGAACATATCTCTACTTGTGTAATAATATATGATGTGTCGCCTTATTTTCCGACTCCACTAAAAAATATCTCTTTACTCACAGAATATAAAGAAGTGGTTCAAGGGAAAAATGGATTGGCCCGTCCAATAAGCTGATTTTCTAAATTTGAATTTGGGTGTGTCATACAATACTAAAACAAAGAGGCCCAATTAGTGAATTCAATGTTAAAAAAGAAACCCAAGGGTAATTAAACCCACCTAGTCAACAGTCGACACACACAAGCCCCCACCCCCTCTCAAAGTGCATTTTTACTTACAAAGATGAAAAATCGGAATTATTTTAATTTGAGTTTTTTTTTTTTTTTGGGTGGTTATTAAAATACGAGTATAAGAATCATTTTACTTGACTTTTTTATGTTGTTATTTTCAAATGTTGTCATAATCTTAAAGGAAAAAAAAAGGAAGCCTTTATTATTCCTGTGCTATTGGACTTGCATTTGTAATAGAATCCCGTTCCTTCTTATATGCTTTAACGGCATAAACAACGGCTTGAGATTTGAGTTCATTTTAATTGATCATAGGTTGTCTAATTCAGCCCACCAAACGGGCTTTAAGGGTTTTATATTCCTTGACTTTTCCATGCAACTCTCTATTTTCAAGTTTTTAGTGGATGTGCAAACCAACTCTCATAAGGGTTAGAAGAATGCAATTTGAGGTAATCCAATTTAAACTGTTTGATTGCATTCGATCAAGTAGCATCGTAGAAGACAATTTTGTGTTTTGATTACATTTATTTTGTTTTTTTTTCTTTTCTCTTTTTGTAGTTTTCATTGTTCTAAGTCAGGATATACTAAAAGATATTTTGATTAATAACCATAAAAATTTAGGTAGTGCAGTTGAGGACTTTGAATCTATAAGCTCCTCACCTCGGGCCTCAAAAATCATAAGGTCAGCTATGCAAATCAATAGTAAGAGTACCAAGTAACATATTCATAATGAACTATCAATTTATTAATATAATTTGGCTAATCAAACAGTCTTGAACTCGAATAATTTTTTTATAGGGATGATCTTCGAATGAAGATTAAAAAAAATTGAACAATTTCGATTATAAAATTTATACAGTAATGATACACTATTCAGAAACGATGGAATATGTGCATTCCGATTAAAGGAAGCCGGTATAATGCTTGCATGCATGTTTCAAGCTCGGAAATGCGCGCATGGATAGACTACTGTCATGTGTTTATGTGTTTCCAAACGGCAAGAGAGCCATTGCCATTTTATGAGAAAATGGAGAGAGAAGAAAATACATCAATGTTACCTTGGCAGTACAGAATTAGGGTCTGCAAGCCGCCATCTATAGACATTTCTGGCCGTCCATTTTTCAGACAGTCAAACTCTTTATGAATAAAAAGGGCAGCTCGATGTGTCATAGAGTGGATAGGTATAATCATAGACCCTAAACTCCCTTCTTTACAAATCGCAGCTGGTGATAACTACTTTTGCACAGAAAATGTACTTGGCCTTCATGAAGGCATACAATTATTAGAACATAAGCAAATAAGCCAACCCCAAGCAACATATTTCCCCTAGGTAATTATTGGCAGAGAAATTAAGAGATGAATGAACATGCTAAATCAAGCCGCCTGGGAAATAAACTTGACACATATTCTTCCTTGGCTATTTTCTTTTACCTTTTCTTGTGGAGTAATTTCTTTCATGATGATGAATATTTATGTTCATTTGAGGAACCTCCTAATTTTATTCTTCTTTGTTTCTTATTCCTATTAGCCAAAGCGAATTTTAGCCACCAAAAGCAGTTAGAAATCTTCGAAGATTTGTTCGAGTCTAAAACATTTAAGCTCAAGCATGATTTTCCATATCAAATTAAAATCTTTTAACTTGATCCACACTTCAACAACGAGTTGTAAAATTCTGAATATTGTTTCTTAAAAATAATATTATTTCTTTGTAAGAAGTTGTCAAATCTCCATCCTTTTGATGGTATTCAAAGAAAAAAATTGTAGAGAATCTCATTCCAAGTATCTGGGACTCCACAGAGACACCAATGAGTACAGTCCATTCCCGTGCGGCCTCCCAACCCATAAATTGAAGGATGCCCATCTTTACGCAGGAGCGAGAGGTTTGTTATATCTAGCAATGTTACTGGTTTTTGGATAGTGCTTAACACATTCTTCAGCACGCCCAAAGCTGGTGGCGAAGCTCCTGGATAGGGCCCAAGCGAAGGTTCCTTCTGCCCGACACAACTTTTTGCACTTGGTTCATGCCATTCACTGCCACTAAAATCAAAAATAAGAAAAGAAAGGAAGAGACTATAAATTTGATTGATGTAATTGGAACAAAACAAACTCTATAGACAAGTCTTCACAACAAATTATTCGAAATTCATAACGACAGTCATTCACGTGTATGTAGATAGTTATCATTTATTTATTTGCACGCACGTGTTAATTTTTTTTGTACATCCAGGATTGGCAAACACTCATGATGACATCCAATAAAAAAAATGTTGAATTTGATTCATGAAGTTGACATTTTAAAAAGGTCATTCAACACTTTTCCTTAATTTATAAAACCATAAGAAAGAAATTGCACTATAAAGAGTGTTGTGAAAATAAGATGATTTTCGTGGAATACTAATAACGGTTTCTCTTAATTTAAAATCCAATGCTGATTAGTTTAGATTAGTTATATAAAAAACTTACTTGTAATGAGAGGGAGAAATTCCTTGGAAGAAAACCCTAGACTTTGCTGGATCAATGTTTGAATCCACCCATCCAGCCCAAGTCTCGAGCGCCTTCTGAAAAGCAAGCATGCGGTCAATGTCTTTGCTGGTCAGGCCTCCTACTTCAACATAATCCCATCTGGAAAATTATAATAGTTAATTATGTATTCACATTCCAACTCCAATTAAAGTCTAACTAAAAGAAAACCAAATATTTTGTAGTAAATATAGTTTTAGGCAGGCTTACGGTTGAGAGGGTCCTCTGCGATTCCACCAATGCCAAGTGTTAAAGATGAGCATGTCAATATCCTTCCATAAGTTGCCTCCCACAATTGAATCAAGCTTCAAGACCCTCCCAATCTTTTCTTTTACAATATCTACTAGATACATATTACTGTCTAGCATCACTCTAATTCCATAATCCTGCAAGCATTGATAAAGATCCCAAAAGAAAATTGAGAAAGAATCACATGCTTCGTGTTTGGTAGGATCATGACAAAAGTTCTTGTCAACTAGTTTGTCCAAGGGAGCTGAAATGTCAAACTAAATTTCACGAGACTAAATAAGCCCCATGGATGGACCCACTTAAGTTACCAAATGAAGCCGAAGAAAAAAGTCTATAAACTTTTAGGATTGATGCATTGCACTCACCTTACCACATTTATGTGTGATTTGACTTCTCTTGATATTTAAGTTGGTTATCAACTAAACAGACAATAACATTTTATTGCTAAAGGTTTAATCATATTATACGTTACTAAGCTGTTAATTTTGACTACTTATACAAACACAAATGTATGTGAAAGTTTTGATCAATTCATATCTTGACTTGATAACAACATATGTGAAACTATATGACAATAGAATTATTCTCATGACAAACAAGAAACAATACCCATAACAAAATGTAGATTAGACGAACCGTGAATTCGAAGATAGATACAGTATCTACTCTTGTCACATTATACGTAGCAGTTGGTACAACAGAGTAAAGTAAGCATGTCAAGGATTGCCATTGATTTCGGCTCAATGAATCTCCAACGAAAATGATTTTCTTCCCTCTAAATCTTTCGAAGAAGTCAAGTGCGTCAAATCTGAATATCAAAGTTGTCAAAAAACTTTAAGTTGGGTTTCCATAGGATAAACCATCTATCATTCAGGTAATACATGTAAATGCTAGATTAATAATGTTTTTCTTCTTCCAGTAGGCTGCAGGTTTAATGCATATAGATTTAGCATTGTTTTCGTTCGAGCAGTACAATTGGTTCTGGCCAAATACTTTTCTGCCGATTCTAATTTTACAGAAACCAGAGAGATAGAGAGATTGGTGCACCTTGCTAAATCACAGTCAAGTGGTTGCCATCTGTATTTGGTGTGAATCTGATCGGGACGGCCATTCTTTTGGCAGCTAAACTCGCGCTCAATGAAGGGGCATGAGGAAGGATCGTAGAGCGGGTAGGACTGGTCCAGAACCCATCTACCTTTGAAGAAATCGCACGACGATGATGACTCATCACCTCTTGCACGTACTACTACTTGGTAATCACAAACAAGAAGGAGGAGGAGGAGGAGGAGAGCAGCTATACTACTAACACAAAAACTACTACGAACCCAGTAATCCATGAATCCTTTGTGTGTGTGAGAGAGAGAGAGAGAGAGAGAGAGAGAGGTTTACAAGAAATGATATGGGACTACAAACTCTTCTCTTAATCTTCTCTTTTTATCTTATAGCTAGCTAGCTACTATATTTATAAGTCTTCTCTGAAATATACGTGAGAGAGGATGGAAATTAAGTCGGCAATTTATTTATCTTTTAGTTTTCTCCTCACATGAATAGACCTAAATACCCTCAAAATTCAAAATCATTTACATAGAAGTGCTTCATGAGAATTCTTAGGACCTCTGAGGAGAACCCCGTTCTGACCCAATGGTGCTCTCAAAGCAAGCTAAACAAATGTCAAGCACTCTACTACTGCTGCAGTCTCAGTGAAAATCAGCGTTGTAACCTTCAATTGCAGAACTTCATAAATACTAATGTCATCGATGATAGTCCCCACAACCACAACAATCTTGTTGTCCTTTCCCTGCATATACTTAATCAACCTCGAGAGAGAAAGGGTGCCTTGTTGACTTTACTCATGAACAAACATTTAAGAATGACTGCATTCAACTTGCTTCTAGTCCTCCGGACAAGAAAACGGTACAGCTTGGCAAGAAGCTTGAGATAGATATCATCGGACTTGGGCACAATGCACTTCATCTTCTTGCTTTTACCTCCTGCCACGAGATCAATCTCCATTGTTGCTGCAGGTGTTGAAGTTCGGTTGCTCGAGATGCTGCTTCGAAAGCGTTGGGCCTTTATCTGGCCAATTCATTGATCAAATATGGGATCCTGTACTGCCATATGGTTAAGTCAACGATGAAGATAGTAGGAGAAAAAGTGATTCCCCCTCATAGTCTTGTACCCATGAGAAAGGCTTTTAATGGTACCTTCATTGTTGGTAGCAACTTTTGTTACTGGTGGTTATGACAAGGAAGTTGGGAACGATGATGTGGCTAAGGGTTGTGTAGATCTTATTGCTTATGATCTTTGGTTCTTGGCTAACCCAGACTTTTTAACTTTACGTTTATTTTGTTTTAATTCTAAGGGTATTTAAGTTTATTTAAGTGGATTTTCTGTTATTTTTGAAAGATTTTATAAAAAATGATATTTATGAAATTGAGTGTTAAATTTTGACTCTTATCGATAAGAACTCTAAATAAGAATAAATAAATAAATAACAGCTTTAAAAAAAAAGATGAGTAGAAAGTATTGTCCTTTATTTTTGGTCATTATCTTTTGGTGTTAGAGCGTTTCCTATGCTAATTGGTAACACAGTAAATGTGTTGCCAATTTTAGTTAAGAAAAATCTTGCTTTGCCTTATATATTAGCAATATTGTGGAGCTTAAAATAATTCCAAAAATTCTAGAGGCAACATATGGACTTTTATTCAAGAATGACAAAATTGCCCTTAATAAATGGGCAGGCTTCTCAGATGCACCCACGCGCAGCTCACATCCCTGAAAGATTCAGCAGCTGAACACAACTGCCCACAGCTTACCAGCCCTTGGTAAGGAATTAAAGATAAGGAGTAATTATCCAAATCCTATCTTTAATACATTCCTAATTGAAGATTGACTCCAATCAAGTAAGTAATCCTAATTTAATTCAATTAAGGATTATTACCCTATTATCTCAAGATATTATCTGCTATTAAATATCTTGGGAATATTTAGAGAATATTTATCGATTAAACCCTATATGGCCGGCTCTAACCCTATAAATACCCCACATTCTACCAAATTAAAAAGGCTCTTGCAACCCTAAAAAGTCTTAAACACTTTACTCTCTCAGAGAAACTAACTTAGGCATCAGAGATCTGTTGACCTAACCCCCCCACCTCGTGGGCGCATGAGGCTTAGGTTTTCGATCAAAGGTGTTGATTATTTTGCAAGTGCATTTTCGTCAAGATTGAAGACGGCGGAAATTTGCATCAAAAAATTGGTGTTTTCATTGAGAGCTGATTCAAAATACTCAAAGAAGCCTTTCGCATTAGTTTCTTGAATTTTCTGTTACGTTGAATTTCTCACACATCGTATCGATTAATTTTTGCTAGAAAAGTTTCTTGATCAATCCTTGGAGAAAGGATACAATGGTAGGAAATTTAGAAACTACGACGAATGGAACCCCATACGTGGAAAGATTTGGACCGGATAGTAGAGACGAGGACATAGCCTGTGACATCCCACATCGCCCAGGGGTGATCCTTATATGTATATTCACATCCTTACCTAGCACGAGGCCTTTTGGGAGCTCACTGGCTTCGGGTTCCGTAGGAACTCCGAAGTTAAGCGAGTAGCGCGCGAGAGCATTCCCAGGATGGGTGACCCATCGGGAAGTTCTCGTGTGAGTTCCCAGAAACAAAACCGTGAGGGCGTGGTCGGGGCCCAAAGCGGACAATATCGTGCTACGGTGGTGGAGTCGGGCCCGGGAAGTCGTCCCGCCCGGGCCGGGATGTGACAATTTGGTATCAGAGCCTAACCCTGGTCGCGTGTGTGCCGACGAGGACGTCGGGCCCCTAAGGGGGGTGGATTGTGACATCCCACATCGCCCAGGGGTGATCCTTATATGTATATTCACATCCTTACCTAGCACGAGGCCTTTTGGGAGCTCACTGGCTTCGGATTCCGTAGGAACTCCGAAGTTAAGCGAGTAGCGCGTGAGAGCATTCCCAGGATGGGTGACCCATCGGGAAGTTCTCGTGTGAGTTCCTAGAAACAAAATCGTGAGGGCGTGGTCGGGGCCCAAAGCGAACAATATCGTGCTACGGTGGTGGAGCGGGCCCGGGAAGTGATCCGCCCCGGGCCGGGATGTGACATAGCCCCACGACAAAGATCCTCAAGGCTCAACGCGACGGCAGGAGGAGCCCTACTGCTATGGAGCACCACCTTTGCCATGACCCAGCAACTGCGACAAGGACACCAGGCCACGACACCACTCCTACCAAACCCTAAGCAGGAGGCCCTGGTCCACTTCCAAACTCCTGGACAGGAGGCCCCAAACTTGGCAGCTGCCACAACAAGCCCTGGGCAGAAAGCCCAGCTCAATGTAGCAACAGGCATTGTTGCACAGCAGGCCAGAACCCAAGCCCAGAATTCGGCAACTGTTGCTAGCCAAGCAACTTAGTGAGCTCAAGCCCAAGCCACTCAGCCAACAGGCCAAGATGTGGCAGCTCAACGACCAGGAGGGCCCACGGCCATGCAGAACTAAGGCGAGCAGGCGCTGATCCAACGCACTCCATGGCTCGCTCCGACGACCTGACCTACGACCCAACTTATTCTGAGGCCACCTCCAGCGGTCTAGATTCCGACCACAGGTCTTACGATCGACTCAGGGTTACTTACACCCCATTTTCTGCAGGACTGCTCGCTCTGGGCTCAAGCTTTGTACCTGCAGTTCACTATACTTCCACCACGCATGGAGACACCTATTATCCAGACTCTTCCAATCCAAATGGCGAGCACCACCTGCCTCAGAAGGTCGCTAATTTGACGAACGCCCTCGCACAATAGACCACCTTGGTGAGCCAACTCTTCGAGCGCATTAAGATGCAGCATGCCCTAGATGAGGTGTCCAGAAGCAGGACAAGGGCGGAAGAACGTAACTCATTCCAACGACGTCCCGTCAAATAGCTGCTCAGCCCGTCATGAACCGAGCATTCAGATAGTGTACACTCTCTTTTAGGCCCTCGGGGAAATGTCTTCTCCCACCTAGATGCGCATAGAAGCGTTCATTCTCGACTTGGCTCACTAGTCAGTGTGCATTTGAGGTTGGGTCCACACTTCGACGAGCACTCAAGACCTTCCAGGAGAAGCGTCCACATGAGGCTAGGCCCATAAAGATATTATTCTATGAGACAATGGAGTAGGCAACTGCATAATGCACAGAGAAGAGCACATGAACAGTCCAGCTCAAGTTCTACTAGTAACCCCCACCAAGCGCGAGGACGAGCAGCACAGCTAGAACCACGTGAACCGCGACCACAGTATAGACGAGCAGGACATGCCGAAGAGCAACATGGACCAGCAGGTCAGCACCGAGGGTAGCTGGAGGCTCCATCGCCCCACCAGGCGCAAATCCAGAAGGAAGTACAAAGACTCGTAGCAGAGCAGCTATGCGGATTCCAGTGCATTGACACTACCGATGATGCTCTCTGTAGAGACGTGGCCAACCTGAGTAGGTCACCCTTTATAGACGAGATCGAGAGGACGGAGCCACCGTGGAAGTTCAACCCTCCACATTTCATCTAGTTTAGGGGAGATGAAGATCTGGACAAACACTTGATGCACTACCAAAGTGCCACGACGTTACAAGGCGAGGCGCAAGACTGATTCCACACCCTACCTCCATGTTCAATCTGGAACTTCGATGAACTTTCCTTGGTTTTCATGAAGGAATATTCATCTTACCGCTCGATTAAGAAGAGGTTTGACCATCTTTTCAGTATGAAAAAGGATTCGAAGAAGTCACTCCGCACCTATGTCAAGAGATTCAAGGTGGAAAAGGAAAAGATCGTTAGATGCGATGATATCATCGTATGTTTAACTTTTCGAAAAAGACTCCTAACAGATCACTTACTTTTTGGAGAATTGATTATGGACGAGAACTTGTCCCTGGCAAACTCTTATGCTTTGGCAAAAAAGCACTCCCTCTGGGATGAAGAAAATCGCTCCCAAAAGCTGCTTAAGTAGCTGCGCAAAGACGCAGAATCGACTCAAAAGAAGGTGATTAACAAACTGCTCGATAACAAAAGCAAGCCAGGTGACAAATGCAGGGACCAGACCCTAGCCAAAGGGGCCGCAGCACCTAAGACGTACACCAGGTTCTCAGTCCCAGATAGCCAGATCTTTCGTGACCTCAAGGATAAGCCATGGTTCAAGCCGCCGCCACCTTTAAAAGGCAACATCTCTAAGATGGCCAAACTAAATACTGCGTATTCCACAGAGGTCCTGGACACACAACCAATGATTGCACTACATGGAGAAGGTACTTTGAGCGACTAGTGAAGGAAGGCAAGTACGACCAGTATGTAGACATACCAACTGCCCGACTAAGGTGAGAAGCAGATGCCGATGCCAAACCCCCAAATAAGACAATCCGAATCAACATAATCTTTGCCGAATTCGAGCATC